AGGTCCACCTCCCCCTCCGATACCAAATCATAAATGAGGGGGGCTTTATTAACCGTGGACCTGGCGTTACACAGCATCAGCCAAAAGCCCAGGCCCTGAGATCCTAAACCCCCTAGGTTGCAAGAAGAGCCATGGGGGCCGGAGCACGCCACAGCTCGTAAACAGCGGGTGCGCCCTCCCCTAGTGTGAATGGAATTAATGGAATTGCCCTCTATTAGGCAGACCCTCCCTCCCTCCCCAATTCCAGGACCTACGCCCACCTCACCGAGCCCTTCAGCTGGCCTGGGAGAATTAATTTCAATTTGCCCACCCCTCTCCCTGGAACCCCCTAACCCGGACTAAAAATTTGATTAAAAATCCCCTTAGGTTGCGTTTTGACCACCTCTCGTGATTAAAAAAATCCCTCATAGAGGTGGGCCCTCGTTAATGCTGTGGGCCAGACCTGCGAGAGAGGGGACTCTCGCAGGGCATGGAGGTCAGCCGCTGAATACATCACGGGCACACAGTGACCTCCAACGCAACCTTATATGCCTACAAAGCCCTGTCTATTATCAAGTTCGGTTCTTTTAGCTGGTGTTCTGGAATGGCCACATTCTGGGAGCAGAAGAGTTGCTGAACCTGGGTTCCAGCTAAACAGCCGTCTTTCTCTCGAAGCCGCAAAGTGGCCTCTCTGGCTCCTTTCCAGGACCGTGATTGCTTCATCCAAAGTGGCAAAGTGGCCTCTCCAAAGCCGCAAAGCCGCAAAGTGGCCTCTCTGGCTCCTTTCCAGGACCATGATTGCTTCATCCATGAACGGAGCGCAAAAACAGCTGGTCCCATAAGCAAATTTCCGAACCTCCGGCATTCCACTCTGACGACGTTGGCAAACTAGAGTGGAATGATGATAGTCAATCTCAGGCAGTAAAAACTTACAGGGGACAATGATGGACAGTTCCTGGTAACAGCAGCCGGTGTACAATGATGATAGTCCGTCCCTAGTAACCGCAGCTTGGGTAAGACAATGATAAACAATGGTAGACAATGGTAGTCAATCTCTGATAACAGAAACTTGCCTAAGACAATGTTANGCAACTTCCTTTCGTCCCGCCTGCTCCACTCGACGTCCAGCAAAACAGGACAGAGTCCAAGGCAAGGCAGGTCCGAAGGGGGAGTCCTCAGGGCCAGGGCAAGCCAAGAACAGTCCTCAAAACAAGGCAAAAGCAATCCTCGAAGCCATCCACGTCCCAACAGCCTGTGAAGGTTTGTGTCCCTTTAAATTTCCACTTTGAATTGCATCCGGAAGCAAACTGGCAACCAATGCAGCATACATTGCTAACATGTAAATGTTAAAAAGGAGTGGAGAGTACTGAGTCCTGCAGCAGACCACAAAGGAGTGGCTTCTCCTGCCTTATCAATACTGATTGGGAACAGCCTTGGAGAAAGGAGCCAAAACAGTGCAAAATTGCTCTGCCCAGTCCCAAATCCCACAGCCAACCCCGAAGGATACCATGATCAATGGTACTGAAAGCCACTGAGAAGTCAGAGGTTAAGAATGGATGTACTATCCCCATCCCACACTCGCCAGAGAACATCAACAAGTGCAACCAATGCTGTATTTATCCCACAACTAGGCCTGAAACCCAACTGGAAGGGCGGATGATCTGAGATAGGTCCATAGTTGCCATGGTGGCCATGAACTCTTGAGCCACTTCCAAAGCCAACCCCAAGATGGCAGGTTGAAGTCTCCTGGGACCATCAGCCTGGGGAATTCCACTGCCAACCCTGAGTTGGCCTCCAGTAGCTCAGGCTGGGAGGTTGCTAAACATCAGGCTGGCTGGTACAGTAGCAATAGACCCAACTGATCCCACACGCCCAGCTTCGAGAGTATTGTCTCACAACCAGAAACCTGGGGAGCATGGTCTCTGAAAGTAAGAGAGATTTCTGAATGACAACTGCTATCCCTCCTCCCTTGTCCTGAGGTCTCAGTGGTACCAAATCCTAAATCCAGCTGAACACATCTCTGAAAGGGGACTCCCTCTTTGTGAGTCAACCAGGTCTCAATGATGCACGACTGGTTGTCTTGCTCCTCCCCAATAAGGTTACAAAAAAAGGGGAGCTTTGTTATTAACCAAACTGAACTTTACTATTGTTTGATGACAAGAGTTGCAGAGACAACACAAGGCAGAAAATCAGTATTGAAGATAATGAGTCTATGTGCCATGTGCCGACCTGTTGCCTAACAACCCATAGTATCTTGTGGCTGGAGACCATCGCCTCCAGTGTGTAGTTTGGCCTCTGATCCTGACATACGGCGCTATTTACACATTAGGGCTATCAAGCAATAATAATATTAAATGGATATAAACATAGCCACAACAACAGGTGAGGATTGAAAGAGCCACCAAGCCAATAGCAGGCAACTTTGGGCTTAAGGAGCATATTTTCTCAACAAAAAGAATAATCCACGTTGGAGCAAGTTCTGATCTGTCACATAAACATGACTGTTATTAATGTTAAACAGGCAGATGGCAATGATGACACAAGGATATTTATTACAATTGTTGGTCAAGATCATCATATGGTCTTCGTCGGCAAGGTTACAGACTTACTCTAATTGTTCAGATTATGTGCAAATTTGAAAAAAGCTTAAAGTTGAAGTCTGGAAAAAAAAGAACAAGCTAAGCTGTAGTTGACTTCCCTGAGTATAATAACAGGAGTGAAAATAATAATTCAAAGTTTTGTAGCTTTCCAGCTATGTGATAAAGTATTATGTTCAACAATCTGCACCTCGATGCGATACTGAGTATTTTGGTCTACACATCTGAAATTAGTCTCTTTTTTTGTATATGTAGCAAAATCAGTTAATGAAATTTTTGATCCATCTAAACATATACCCCTCCCAGTAGCCATCTTATTTAGCATGGACGTAGTTTAGCCCAGATTAATGTCTAGATTATAATTAAGCAGCTATTAGTCCTCCAGGAAAACAAAGGATGCTGGGTTGATCACAAAGCAGACCATCTTGCAGGAAGATCTATATTGTTTTACTTTCATTATCACCCTGCATTGGAATGGTACAGATTTACATTTTTTTTTTTAAAAAAGGGTCAATGTGAGGTGTTAACTTCCCTTTTACCCCTTCACGAATTGCCCTCGTACATTCACAAAAGCTAAAAGGGAAACAAAAAGACTAGAACACAGCTTCTCCAGCAACTAACACTCAGATAAGTAGGGATTCACACCAAACAACCAAGCAGAAAAGAATAGCCTAATCAAGAAACTACCAAGGAGTTGGCAGTTTCTACCACCTACCGTCCCTATGGAGCTGCTCCCACCCTTTTGGCCTTCTGGAAGGACATTAAAACTTGGCTTCACCGTTTGGCCTGGGGTGGGGGGATCACTGCTGGAGGTGACTGACGGGGTAAGGAGACCTCATCCCCATCTTAGTCCTGGTTTTAGTATAGTTTTTAAATGTTAAACGTTGTCGTTTTAATATTTTAATAGATTTGAATTATTTTTCTATTTGTTTTATAACCTTCAAACTGCCCAATCACCTGACAGGAGAGATGGGCAGCATAGAATTTCAAGAAATATAAATAAATAAAATAAACAGAGAGCAAATCTCACATTCGCTAGCATACGTGATGCTATGTAACTGATTAATGAAATGTCACACGCAAACAACCAAGCTCAGAAAGCACCAAAAACCCACAGTTCAAATTCTGAGCTAGACATATTCTCTTCTATTGGAAAAGGGATTCTTTTCCGAAAAGGATTGCAAAAGATGGTATTTATTGATATATATATTTACGTATCAAATAAACAGTCACCCATCTCACAAGAAGTGATTCTAGGCATCGTACAACAAAAAATATAAAACAATTAAAAAAAATAAGTCATTATTAAAAAAATTAAAAAGCATAAAGTATACAAGAGACTAGATCCAGGGACCCCCCAGGCCTGATGATATAGCCAAAACGTAAGGGATTTCTGAAAAATAAGGAGGGAAGGAATTAACCTCACTTGCCGGGAAAGGGGGTGGGGGAGGAGAATGTTCCACAGGGCAGGCATCACAGTAGAGAAGACCCACCTTCTTGAGGCCACCATGTGTAGTCCTTAACAGACAAGACCTGTAGCATGCCTCTTTTGCCAGATCTGATGGGTCAGGCAGATGTACTCGGGGAGATGTGGTCCCTCGTGGCCCTGTTTGGTTATCAATGACAGACACTCGCAGATACAGAACTTTTATTATACACATTAGAAAACTATAACATTACTTTTCGACATAACCGCCATTCAGATTGAGGCACTTGTTATAACATCTTATAAGGTTTGAAATTCTTAGTAGTTGCTTGGTGCCAAATCTGGGCTATGGGGGGGGGGGGTTGATCAAAAACATCCCAACATCACACCAGTGCCATAGAAAATCCCGCCAAATGTGAAGATGCCAAAGGAGTACTGCTAGTGAAGTTCATGGAGCGTGGTTCGACCATCAATTCAGAAGTCTACTGTGAAACGTTACGAAAACTCAGATGAGCCATCCATAACAAGCGTCGGGGCACGCTGACCTCCGGTGTGGTGTTGGTTCACGATAGTGCTCACCCGCACACCGCTAGACACACCCAAGAACTTTTAAAGCAGTTCCTTTGGTAACTTTCAGTGCAGGAAGACTGCACAATGGAGCTGCTTCTACATCAACAGTACCAAAAAGGTAAGCAACTGATTGATGACAGAGGTGGGTAGGTGAGGAGACAGAGAGGGGTAGGAAAACAGGTTCAAGGCCTGCAGGGACCCTGAGGGGTGGGAAGCAGATCATAGGATATAGGCACCTCACTTAACGACCATCATGACAGGCTCCATCACTGTCATAAATTAAGGACTACTTTATGAAGTTTTTTTTTCCAGTTACTACAAGTAAGCCATATATATTAGAGTAGACACATTTAAAAGAGCTCTGCTCCTATCCCAGCTCTGGGTGTTAACTGATCTTACAATAGAAAAATAAAGCCAAGACTACTAAATATTAGTTTTTCTTTATTACATTTCAAAATCTGTAAAACATAAAAATTAAGCAAATTACATTTTATAAAAGGGATCCTGTGTTGATGAGATCTCTATCTAAGCAAATCTGGGACATTGACTACAAAGCCATGTGCATAAGCTTTGCAAGCTATTAGGTTGATAAAGCTTGCAAGGATGGAAAGAAACAGAAAGCAAGATATTGTACATTCTTAGTTGAGGACTCTTAAGGGATATTTTGAGTTTGAAACAGATGGAGTTGCTGAATCCTCCTCCTTGGCCTTTTCCAGGAAGAATGCTGATTTGTTCTCTTTATTCTTTTTGACACTTCTTTTATGCTGTAAAGTTAAAGAGCTTGCGTTATTATTTATTACTTTTACTAAGTGCTGGGAAAGCGTTATATCAGTTCCATTTTATAGTTGTGTCATCATTTTGGCAATATATTGCCTCAGATAGTTTACTGGCAAACAGAAATACTCTCTGGCATATGAAAATATCTAAACAACTTATCACCAAAAGTTTTTCAGTAAGCAAAACCTTTGAAAAAAAATTATCCAGTGTAATTAGAAAGATCTTGTTTGGGAAAATTCTATTTTATTTACATTTTGGTGCAAAACATCTTTGAAGGGTCAATTACTAAAGCACATGATGGTTACTTTAAAGACAACTTGATCTCTGGGCATGAAAAGTGAGTGTGAGCTTTTTAACTGTTTACTGGAAAATGTTAAGATGATGAACAATCTTCTTTGAAGACAACTAAAATGGACTTGGAGGTGGACTTAAAAATTACAACCTACAAGAGATGAAAATACCAGATCTACAAGTGGAATTGAATAATCAGTCACAAATCAAAAAAGACATACAAATAATGTAACCAAACAATGAGGTGAATTATCCTTTTAAATTGAAATAAAAGACATTTACTGGAGTTACTTCATGGAAAGTACAGTCTTAGATCAAGATGGTAAGAACTTCAAGAGAAGAGCAAAGAAACCAGAATTTTATTCAAGAGATTTAAGCATGGCTGGGAGGAAGAAGGAAAAAAACTATAAAATCGATTTATATGACTGTGGTAAAATAATGAGTTGCTATCTTTGGTGATGTTTGATGATCATCTGGATTGGATTATTTCTCTTCGAAATGTTCAGTGGTGTAATGGATGAATTTGTAATATTTAAATTACCATTTTCTGATATCTAAATAAGAGTTATCATTGCAGATGATGTTTGTTTAATAGCTTTCAATTTTTATTACTACTTTTGTTAAGAGATGGATGAAGAGTATTTAGACTAAATGGAAAGGAGGATTATATACTTATAATATACTGGCAGGTATTTCTATTAATTTTGTTTGGATCTTTATTAATCAATAAGGAGACCTAAAGATTTAGAGATGAGTTTATAGAAAATGGGATGAGGCATGGAATTAAGATTTGTTGTAATTTAAGAGACAGCAATAAATTGTTAATGTTGAATATTATCTTGGGGGAAGTTTTCTTTTCTTACCATTTTTGGGGATGTTTCCTTTCTACACTTTATCTTTTTTAAAAAAAAAAAACATTCTTGTATTAGGTTCTTTGTTAATTTTCTCTTCATAATTCTTAATAAAATTATTGGAAAAATATACATCTCCTGATCAAGTCAACACAAAAAGACATAAATTACCTGGAAAAAGGGCACACCATTAGTCTGAATACACAAACTAGTCTCCAAGTAGGATTTTTCACTGTAAAGGCTCTCATTAGTTTCTCTTATTTCTTCTTCGTCCACCAAAGAATCCTTGGGACAGACAACAGTTAGCCAATTGTGGTAGTGTAGATAAACCATTTCTACAAGTTAAATAGAGCAGGAGCAATCCTCTGTACAGTTAATTCACTCTGCAGCAATTTAGCAGTTTAAGCACCACCCTTTGGGAGAAGCAAGCTATTTCTCCACCCCTTACTATCTGTAGTTACCTCAACCAAGGTATCAGTTTTCATGGCTTCAGCAGGCTTTATAGTAGGTGTCAGCTTCATCTGCTTTTGCCTTAATTTTTCAAGCAAGCGATCACGAGGTTTTGTTTTCACCACTGCTACTGGGTAACAGTAGTCCTTCCGCTGTGGAGTATTTCCTTTAGAAAAAGATCCATTTAAGAGATAATAAACACAGTGCACTATAGCAACCTAAGACAACAAAGCCATCTTTTTCTTATTGGATTTAAAAACTGATTTTAGATAGCTCTTACTCTTTTTTTTGGCTCCCTCTAAAGTCTGCAGAACTAATTTTTCCTCTCCAAATACCTGTTGGGAGATCCGCTTTAAGTTCCTCAGTCAGGAAGCCATTAATGTGAGCTAAACCATCCTCTGATTCTTTAAGGAGCAGGTCTTTCCGTTCGGTAAGCACATCTCGATCATTCTGCAAGTGGTCAAGAAGCCTCTTGAGGATGACATCTTCAGCCTCTTTTTGTCTCTTCACGTGGTCTGTCACTTTGGCTTCTGATGCATTACAGTTGTCATTGAGATCCTGGAAGCAAAGGTACTATGTTAGGAAACCAGATCTTCAATATTATAAACTGCAGGTTTGACTGAATGAACCTTATTACTCAATATACAACAGGGGTGTTAAACTGCCGGCCCACAGGCTGGACGCATCATCTGGAAGCCTTGCCCACCCCATTGCCGGCAATGGCAAAAAACGTCCCAATACGCTGTGCGACGTCACGAGTTTGACATGTCTGATATACAACAACAATTTATGGTCCTTTCCAAGCATATGAACCACCATTATTTCTAGAAAAGAGACTGCTTGAGTGTGGGAAAACATGAATTGGGTCCTTCTTCCAGGCTTCCCTGATTAAAGGGAGAGAGCTATCAAAATAGCCGTTCCTGGGAGAACACATTGGATCATATGGTCCAAACAATTATATACAGGTAATCCTCAACCTACAACCATTTGTTTAGTGACCGTTTAAAGTTGTAAGAGCACTGAAAAAAATGACTTGGAACCAGTTTTTCCACTAATGACCATTGTGGGTCACATGATCAAAATTCAGGCGCTTGGCAACTGGCATGTATTTAGGATGGTTGCACTGTCCCGCGGTCATGTGATCACTATTTGTAACCTTCCCAGCTGGGGGGAAAGCCAGATTCGCTTAACGACTGCATGATTCACTTAACAACTGCAGTGATTTACTTAAAACTGTGACAAAGAAGTTTGTAAAATGAGGCACAACTCACTTAACAACTGCCTCACTTAGCAATGGAAATTTTGGGTACAATTATGGCCGTCAGTCAAGGACTCTCTGGATATACCTGTCATAAAATTCTATGTTTAAAAAGTCTTTCGATGATCTAGGTGTCACCAGGTTGTAAGATTTAGAATTACCTTATACATGTTTTGTAGGTGTTCATTCTGGTGGTTGAGAAAATCTCTCTGTTGATCAAGTACAGAGTCTATCTCTGCAGTTGCCATTTCAGCCCAGCTAGTTGTTTCTTTACATGTGTTTCGCAAATTACGGCCCAGATTTTTAACGTGGTTGCCTGATTCCAAAAGCATCTTGACATTATCATGGCTGGACTGCCTGATCTCTTGGGAAAAGTCATCCAGAACTGGAATCATCTTGTTCTGCTGGGAAGTGGTAGAGTTGACAAGGCCAATAGTCTGCCTAAATAAAAGGATTTAGCAACAGATTATTCAAGCACTAATCATATAGTCTAAGACTGAAACAACAACCAAATCAATGTTTCACCTAAATTGCTAATTTCACTGAATTTTATTACAGCATCCAGTCATTCTGGAACAGCTCTCTATGGCATTATTTTGGAGTACAAGTGGGGAACATACAGTATTTGCCATTTTTTCAATAAAAACGCTAAAAGCAAATGCACACAAGCCCTACTTTAACTTGAACATCCTGAAATATTCTTTTTAAAAAGTGCTGTCCATCCCTCAAAGAGGTCCACCCCTGCCTTTGTTTCTCAAAGGTGTTATTGAGATGGAGATCAAAACCATGCAATGCATAAGGGTAGTAGTTGTTCCTGAAATTGACATTAGTCAATAAAGGGGAGTAGCAAAAGAGTCTATTTTATTTCACTCAATTCATTTTGAGTGAAATAAAATTCAAATTCAATCTCCCATTTCCAAATGTCTACCTTGACAATACAATTATACAGATGTGAGATTGGGTTTGGGTCAGTCACCAGGTCCAGAGATCTACTCTTCCGAGCTTTGGACTCATGCCGGAGCCCATTTTCAGGGAACTTCTCTTTGCTGGAATACGCGCTTTGGGCTGTTCTGTGAGTCGTGTTTATGTGGTGCCTTCCTATTGGCTGATTGGTGTGTTGATGGCTGGCAACTGGCTGTTGTTTCCTTGTGCTGCCAAGCCCTGGGCTCCTAAGTACTTGATAAGCTGGTGGTAAGGACAAGGAGGCCCCTTTCCCAGGCTTCATGTAAATGATTGGAGCCTGGGAAAGGGGCCTCCTTGTCTGTTAACAGGAGTGCTGATTTACCACCAGTTTATCAAGTACTTAGGAGCCAAGGACCAATCGCCAGCCATCAACACACCAATCAGCCAATAGGAAGGTACCACATAAACACGACTCAAAGAACAGCCCAAAGCGCATATTCCAGTAGAGAGAAGTTCCCTGAAGATGGGCTCCAGCATGAGTCTGAAAACTCGGAAGAGTAAATCTCTGGTCGTGGTGACCAACTCAAATTCAATCTTGCATCATTATCCTGAGACATGTTTATCTGCCTTCATTCGTGACAATTATACAGGTTTAGTCTGAAGCAGAGTTGCTCCATGGATGCTTGAGTCTATGATAAGGAATACGAGAGTTTTAGCCCAAGAATTATCGGGATCAGTCTCAAGCACTGCAGAATATTACAATAATCCTTCAAACATATTTCAGAAAAAAAGTAAGTTAAAAAGCTTCCTTACACAATTATATTTTCTTGTACATCATTAATGTTCTTCTTTAGGCTTCCACCTTTCTCTAGGATTTGGCTGAAGTTCTGCTGAGTTTGGTGATCAAGCATGCTTAGCTGATTTTGCAGCAAAGCAATAAGTTGGGCTGTACCCTAGTATGAATCAAGGAAAATTGAAAAAAAATATTACTAAGGAAAACTGTACTAGTAAAATAGTTTGAAAGCATGCAGGAAGCTCACATTTATTCAAATGTGCTTCAGTTGCATTTTTCAGTTAATACTTAATACAGAACAGTACCTCTTTAGAGAGCTGAATATTTTGCCTTAGAGACAGTTCAAGGAAAAAAATTCCACCTTTCAGGAGTTAAATGGGATGAAAAAGTCTGCTAGATATGGGCAAAACCCAACTTTCTCTATCCAATCTGCTTCCTGGAAGAAGCAGACTCACAACCCTAAAATGGAATTTATAGACAAACACAACCCCACCTCCAAGTTACTATGAAGGATGAAACAAATATATATGTGTATATATAGTACTGCTTATCCTGATTAGCCCTTTTTCAATAAGCACATTTTCCCCTTCTTAGGTACAGCCAAATCCCCCTCCACTCCTAAATGTGCACAAGAAATGACACATTCAAAGTTCTTCTCAACCTACTTGAACGCTTTTGACTTGATATGTATTTGTGACTTTAAGAAGAAATATGAACAATGTTAGCATCCATATTACTAGAAGGCATTTGTACACATGAAGCTAACCTATGTTCCCATGTTTTCCTCCCATTCTTCGTTTGGTTGTATTATTGTTCTTACAATAAAAGAAACAGAAGTAGAAAATATAAGTGGAAAATCAAAACAAACAACCGAATGTTCACAAAATGGACCCAACCAGAACTATGTATACCAGAGGTCTTCAACTTTTCTGGGCTCGCAGCCCGGAGGGAGCGAGAGCAGCTTTCAAATTGGTGCGCACTCATGCATGCGCACAAACAGTAGCATGTGCACTGGCATGACATTAGCGGCCCTGTTCACACATGCACAAACAGGCCATGCATACCCGGCGCTAGCAGCCCCGTTCGTGCATGCACGAATGGGCCGCGCACACTCGCCCGGTGCTAGCGACCATTCGTGCACGCATACATGTGCAAATGGGGCCGTCGGCGCTAGTGCGAGGAGTGCGCAGTCAGCCATTTCAGCAGCCCGCTGGCCAAGAGGCCGCAGCCCGGTAGTGGGCCACAGCCCATAGGTTGGGGACCCGTTGTATACTGTATACTTTGGGAATCATTGCCAGAACCCTGCAGGCAAGCAAATTTTTGTATTGGTAGTGGAAACAGAAATATAAAATTTGAAAGAGGCACTGGGACAAGGGTAGGGAACTTGCTGTCCTCCTATTATTTTCAAGTGCAATTGCATAACAGCAGCAGAAGTCCAGAAAACTAGTTACCTGTCTCTTAAGAAGGCCACGCTGGACCATATGCAACATGCAATAGTAATAATTAGGATAGAGAAAGGCACAATGGCTGGCAGAGCCAGCAGAACCTAGCAGGGTTCCTTAAATAGCATAGCAAAAACTACCTTACTTCTATATTCTAGTGCACTATGGACCTCCTATGGACACTGGCTTGATAATTTTGTGCTACAAACGGAAAAAAATACCGCTTTCTGTGCCATCTTGGTCAGTTTGACTTGTTCTTGCAAGCTCTCATAATTATTCTGAAGTTGAGAAAACATTTGGGAACTGTCTTCGTGTAGTTTACTCAAAGCAAGAGAATGATCATGGAAGAAGGTAGCCAGTTCTTCTTTATAGCCTGTAATCTTTCAATCAGAAAAAGAGATCACATCAGTTTTCAAAGGCACATTAATATTTATTGGCTTTTTCTAAATAATACTAGTGTGATGTGTATATATGTGTTGAACTTTTTTTTTTTTAAAAAGAAACATGGCAGGTCTATTCATTTAGGTGGGACCACAGGCGTCATCTATGGTCCCCCCTAAACAAATAGAAATTGCCATGCTCCATTCATGATGATGAAAACATGTCAAGACATGCATGGCAACACCATAACAGACTCCAGGGTTTGTGTTGTGATTTCGCAATAAGGTTTTACCACTTGTCCTCCTGCCAAATACCCATGAGCAGATCTGAGACATTTCAGTCTCCTTCAATCTGGAATTATCCAGATGATCTAGAAATACCAGGAGGGGACTTCTAGTTCACTCCAGCTGGAGGGCTTGAGATTGACAAAAGCTGTCCCAGAGATGGGGTGGGAAAGAGGATCCAACTTCCAGATGCCCAATAGGTAGATAGTGCAGGGGATTGGTAGACTTTTAGCCCATTTCAAAAGCACTGCCTGTTTATAAAGTGTTCATGCAGGAGAAAACATTTTGCCTGCAGGAGAAAATAGGCAATGTCCCTTGGCTTTTCCTGTCAGCAAATGGAAGTTCTATTTATATCATCATCAGTGACCTGGTGGTTTCTCCAAATACAAGCACACGTATGACTGAGGGAACTCCATCTTAACCACCTCTAAGCTCCATTGCTCTTGACAACTGTGACTGTTCAGTGCCTTCCCCAAGGGGGCAAAGCATGGAACTGGACTACAAATGAAGTGGTTTACCTTGCAAGGGGGAGGAAGAGCCCTAATAAAAGCTCTGGCATCTTGGTGTTTGTTCTCATGGATTGGATTAGGTTGAAAGGCTAAAGCAGTGTTTTTTTTTTCAACTTTAGGAACTTTTAAGATGTGTGGGCTTCAACTCCCAGAATTTCCCACACGTCTTAAAGTTTGAAGTTCACACGTCTTAAAGTTTCCAAGGTTGAGAAGCACTGGACTAAAGGTTCCTAATCCTTGTGCTAGCATTCAACAATTATAGTACTTCAAGGTATGCTTTTTACCATTTCTGCCAAGGATGAATTTTTCTTGAAGTGTTCCTGCAGCTGAGAGTTTATACTCAGCACAAGTTGTACCACAGGAGTCAGGCTACTTAATGCCTTATCCAGTCCAGATGCATGTTCCTCCTAGAAGAGCAGACAAGGTAGTGAACTCATTGCTTCCAACGAAGAAAACATTGAGACCCAATCAGAAAACAGAATTGCGGAAAGACTAAAGACATTAGAACTCCTCCAAATTAACCAAATTATTTCTCACACGTTAGGAATCAATAAGATCAATTTGGTGCCAAGCTTCCTCCAATGTAAGATGCTTTCCCAAGAGCTGACATGGCACCTAATAAATCTCCAGTGAAATTTTATGGAAGACAATAGGCAGAAATACTCATGAATATGCCAAATACACAATTTTCTGTTCCTTCTGTAGCACTGCATTTCAGGACATCCTTATTTGCATTCTGCTATAACATACTATGTTTCCCCGAAAAAAGGCCCGGGTTTTTTTGTTTGTTTTTGCCTCCAAAAGATGCACAAGGTCTTATTTTCGGGGGCATCTTTTCCACTCACCTCATGGTAGCGGCATTAACAGCCCCTCCCAACCGGCCCACTTCTTCTGTGGTCAAAGGAGCAGCTTCATTCTGCAGCTGAGAATGGAGCTCCGGAGTGCATTTTGCAGTCAGAGGCCTTTCCGGAAGGTCTCTGACTGCGAAATGCAGGCTGGGGGACGCCACAGAAGAAGTGGGCCAGCAAGGAGAGACAGGTGTTGATTCATCGGAGGCCTGATAAGTAGGCGTGGGGCATGTAGGGCAGCTCCACCCCCACCGTTTGATTTTTAGGTGTGCGCTTTGCCCCAAAACTAGGGCTTATTTTGGGGGTAGGGATTATATTAGGCCCACGCCCAAAAATCAAGTTAGGGCTTACTTTTGGGGAAACACAGTAGGAACTTGCCCCAAGTATCTAATCATCAAACTTCCTAGCTTTTATGCTCATGACACGGGATAAAGAAAGGCTGTACCAAAATCTGTCTTACTGTAGTCATAATGTCTATCTGTTGCCTCATTTGAAAACCACATGGAACCTCCAACTCTGGGTAATAGGCTCCTTCTTTTGTTTCAGGCTTATACTTTAACAGCAAATAACCGAAACGTTATTCTACTTTATGTCACTTGTACTTACAATCGTTTTCTGCAGGTCATTTTTATTTTTGGAGGTCAGTGTGTCCTGATTCAGCATTTTTTCAGCAGCTAGGGACACTTCAGTAGAAACCATTTCCTTTACCGAAGTGAATGCTGCATCTATAGCTGCTGCGGTAACTCCAAATGCTGAAAAACTGGTGGACAGAAGATCATCTAACAAGAAAAAGATGAGTTATAACAATTTAACCCAGTGCCCTTCTTACTAGAGGGCAACAATGATTTGGTAATGGTTTTGATTTCTCAAACAAGTCTGAATCAAGGTTTTGGCATGTCAGGTGTGTGTTAACTTTATTGCCATGTAAAGTTGAATAGAAACACTTACTAACTGAGGAGGTGTAAGAGTCTAGCATCTCCTGCTGATTCTTATAGTTCTTTTTCACAGAGTTCTGGATTTTGTCAAAGAGTATATTCATGTGATCCATAAATGTCTTTTGAGCTTCCACATTATGCTGCTCAACTGCTTTCTTCCGATCTAATTTTGCATGCAAACCGGACACATCATTGGTAGTTTCTTTAACGGTAGTAAGCAGCTAAGGCAGAAAAAAAGATTGATAGTCTTCAAATATCACCTCTCTCTCTCTCTCTTTCACACACACACACACCTACACACACAAAATGTCCACAAAATGCACCTATCATCCCGTTGGCAAAGACATTCTGGCTTCATCAAAAATGACACTAAAAGTCCACTATTCCTTCAGAACTGTAAGAGCTACTGAAGCTCTGAAATGGTCTATCTTTGACCATTTAAAATACAATTGTCTTAATCTAGCAAGCAATCTATTTTTAAAAACAATACTAGTATGTTGTATTGTCTGACCTTGGTAGCAGTGCCATGAAGTTTTTCTTCTGAGTTCTCTAAAGCCGAGGCCACATATTCTTCTTCAGCAAGAAGAACCTTGGTAATTTCCAGGTCTTTCTGGGTAACTTCCAGTTCCATTTCCCTGGCTTGTAGGTTTGCCTGGCACTTTTCCATTTCATCTTTTTGAACAGTAAATAACTCGGCAACCTGAATCAAGACAACATATACTCATAAAGATAATGAGGGTAAGGACAGGTTACCTGCAGTCCAAATATGGCCTTTAAGGGCTTTTGTGTGATTCTACCTCTTCCTTTTTGCTGTTTGTGCAGCAAAAATTGGCAAAAACTCACATGGCTCATTCAGGAGCTTCTTCATATATACAATACATACATACGTATGTACATATGTAGGTGTGTGCACGCATGCTGACATGTTTTTTTAAGGTATTACAGCTGATCGAAGCAAAGTTCCAGCTTGATTTCCACTCCCTATTTCATATTTCTGTAATTGTATTGTTTCTACTTGGTAATGACTTTCAAACTAATGGACCTACAAAAAAAAAAGCTAAGTAATATTGGACTGAAATTAATAATTTAATTCAAATAATCTTGAAAATTAATATACAGTTCAGACCAGAGAGTTAATGTTAGGCCTTAATGTATAAAGTGCTGGAAAAAAAATTACACGGCATTTTACTTCTATATATAACGGTGACTGTATGCTCAGCACTGGAAAGACCCTATGATACCTACTATCGAGGAACATTTAATAAAGTGACAGAACTGGAAATGATGGCTAAATTATTGGCTCTTGTGAAAGAAAAACCACTACAGATTTTTGTGAAAAGATGAGCATGCTAGAGCTTCCTAACCATCAGAGAATCATCCCAAAAGATAAGGAAAATGTACTGGGTTCACTTACTTTTTTCAATTCTTCCTCCATGGCTGTGATTTTCTCAATGTAGTCTGCAATTTGCTCTTCCTGAATTGTTATTTTCCCATTAAGAGCACTAAAAAAAAGTCAACTAATGTTAACAGTGATGTAGTCTTATTAATTTCGGGCTAAGCAATAAGATAACTTTAAGAGGAAATAGGAGAAATATAGCTGTTCATTTCTGATCACTAAATTGTTCTCTTGTTTTTCAAGTATCATGCTTCAAGTTCCTCATATTGCTAGCTATTGATAGTCATTTCTGCCTGAACTATACATTTATCTTATTGCTATTTATTTAAAACATTAGATACTGCTTATTAAAAATCTAAAAGCAGTTCACAATAAACAGAATTGACCATTTACACTATAGTCAATGAGATTATGCAAGTGTAAATGATCCTATAACTTATTTAACAATTGAGCTAGGAGTTGTGTTCTGTTGTTAGGTATACCAGGACTTCCATAAAGGGGAATTTTCTATTCAGTATAATTGATAAATTTTGTAGTATATTAGTTATATCTTTCTTGAAGATGCTTTGAACCAAGAGACTTATCAGTCAACTTATTCCTCCATTTCTATCCTTTGTTCCAGTTATGTTCAACTTTCTATAATTATTCATGCTGCCACATTCCTTCATCCAGATATTTTTTCCTTCTCCATATATTAGATTTTATCCAATCATGTTGTCACTTCCCTTCTGACTCTGAGCGACCATGTTTAAAACCTTATTTTGTTGCTCCTCACCTTGGCTCATTAAAGAGGGAATAAGTGGGACCAGGTAGTATATATTCTGATTTTTATCTGGACATCCAAAAGGTTTAAAATTCAATTAGCTTGCTATAGAGCAGTGGTGGCGAATCTATGGCATGGGTGCCAGAGGCGGCACTCAGAGCCCACTCTGTGGGCACGCGCGCCATCGTCCCAGTCCTAGACCTTCAGCTGGGTTTTATAAAACCTTTTCGCTTTAGGCCTCTGCCGCCGTGTAGAAAAAAAAAGGTTCAATCAATCAGTCAATTTCAACTTCTTGTGGGAAAAAAAAAGATCTTGCAAAGTTGGAATTGATTGATTGAACTTTTTAGTCCCACTCAGTCTGCCGTTATCACCGCAGCCACGCCTACCCAATGGGCCACACCCAGCCAATGGGCCACACCCACCCAGCACCCGACAATGCATAAGTGGGTTTTGGGTTGCAGTTTGGGCACTCACTCTCTAAAAGGTTCGCCATCACTGCTATAGAGCTATGCTCTGGGGAATTCCATTACATTTTAACCCCTCAGATTCCTTTCTTTTCCAAATAATATTCAGTGTTCTATAGCCACCAGGTATCTTAATTCACAATGACCTATGACTGGGGATTTCCCTCTTTCAAAAAAAAATATGCTGTATTTTAATATACCTCAGGGTTTTCCTCCAAAATGTTAGAACCTCATTTCTCAATAGCCAACACACCACAGAAGCCTGTTTCTGAAGGAATTAATTTTAGAAATCTGCTCATAATGGAATGTTGCCCTACTCTTCTGAAAGTGGCCCTCGACCCAATCCTTTTTTGCCCTGCTCTGATTAGCATCATTCAAGCTTTTTCAGTAAGAAATGCTAGCTAGGATTGCTTTGAAACAATACTGATGTACGAGGCATATGACATTCCTCTCATATGTGATGTTTGAGCTGCATCCTGTCGCTCTATCACATTCTACAAATTATACTCTACCTACATTCTGTCAGGAAACACAACAGTACATGATCCTGCCTGACTGGAGAGAGATGGTGCTTATTTTTTTATAAAATTGATCATGAGGTGATGTTTGCCCTAAGCTGTCAGTCTTTGTGGAGAGCCAAGTACTCACTCAAAATTTTCCAGAGAAATATAGACGCCATTTTTCTCTCGTACTGCAGTAAGATCTCGTTTTAAGCGTTCAATCTCTTCGGTATACTCCTGTGAAAAAATATCAGCACAATGCTGGAATGTATCTTCTGAAGCAGCTGGAATCCATAATCTCATAAACTTATATTTTTGGCCTGGCCAGTTAAAAAAATCCAATCTACTATCATGCATTCACACTGCAACACAGCAGGGAAAATTTAGAAAGCATTTATACTTAATGAAAGGGTACTGAACCTTAATGAGTGCCCGTTTTGTGAGTTTCTGATTCACTTCAGGTTTATTCATGATATTCTTTGCCCTGTGGGCATATTCTAGAGTACTCAGAGTTTCCTGTGGTACAAAAGACAAAATAAATTTAAATAAATTTAAATTTAGATACTTTTAAAATAAAAGTAAAAAATGCTGAGCAAGTCATCTTTTTGTAACCACTTCTGCATAAAAAAAAGAATTCTTGAAAAATACAAGGAGCTTCACTCTAGAAATATCTTGCTGGGCTTCTCTAGAGAAATGGCATTTATTGTGATTTACAAAGCATTCTACCGATTCATATGCTGCCTTGGGAAAACTCTGTTCTGAAAGATGGCATATAAACCAGAATTGCTGTATTCTCATTTATTTTTATTGCTTCATTGTTTTACTAATTACATTTTTTTTATAATCTTACCTTCTACTGTTGTAAGCTGCCTAGAACTGCCCGACAGTGAGATGGGCAGCAAATAAATTTAATAATACTATAAACCAGAATAGATCAAGAGTCTATTAATAGAACTTTTATTAAGTCTATTATGCCCATCAAGACAGTTTTAACCCTTGCAAGCCAAATGATAGATTTTCTCCAAGGTAAGCTGTCCCCAATCTGTCCCGTCAGATCTTCCAATGGTACACCCATCCATGCTGTAATTGAATCTACCCATCTTACTGCTAATTGTTCTCTTCTCTTCTCCTTCCACCTGTTCAAATTCTATAGTGTTCTCTAGTGATCTATGTCTTCTCATAATGCTTATTAAATCTTATAATCTTCTAAATCTAATTTATTCTGGAAGTCCAACTGATGTCACTCATAATACATTACCTGAAAGAACCTTACCTCAAGATTGATTGATGCAGGAGAAACAGTTGCAATTATACATGTTTTTGTGCGTCCTCCGAGAGAGTCCTGTAGGATTCTGGTAAGCTTTGATTCTCTATATGGAATATGTGGAGTTCTTTCAACAAGAGCAGTAATGACTCTACCCAGCGTCAACAGAGATTGATTGATATTTCCAGCTTCACGAGCTCTTTTGTCAACTGCTCCAGAACGACCTATATTCTCACTCCCTGCCAGATCAACCTACAAATAAACTTATCTAAGTCACAATCAGTATGTAGTAGTCACAAGGAGAAGTCAACAAATTATATTCAACCTTGGTAACCAACAATTACTGCTAATCCCTAATCAGATGAAAATTAACACAACTATATCTGAGGGTATTTGCATTTACAATTTCCAACAAACATAGATAAGGTGGACCATAGTTTAGGATGCTATGATATGCAATCAACAATTGGAGAATTACAAACCCAACAAGTCCTCAATTATACCCTGGGGTGAGGGGAGAAGGTACCTGCATTAGTAGGTAGAAATCTGAGATGATACAGAATATGGGATTAAAATGTCAAATCCCCAACAATGGAATTCAAATGGAAAGATCTGTTCTCTGTCGTCCTAAAGGGTAGGACACCTATTAGCATTTTTAAGATCACAACAAATCCATTTCTTGGTTTTGTGACAGTCTGTTTGCTGTTGCAATGTAACTTCCCTTCAAACAGTGGTATTCTGCCATCTCTGTATTATTGAGAATAATCTGATGCGGTGCAGCAATACCATGTGTTAAAACTCACCAAGTTTAGCTTTCCAATTTTCACAAGCTCTTCTCCATATGTTGTTTCTTTCATGTGCAATGTGATGGAAAACACTGAATGGGATCGGCTACAAATTGAGACAACAGAGAAATGTTCTAGTGAGTATTATAATCTTTTGCCATGTGATTTTTACCTGTTGGACAGCAATTACAAGCAATAGTCAATTTGGTTGGATGCTAAACCAACTTTTGATCCATGACTTTTTTGGGTCAGACAAATCCCAAAACATCTTTGAGATTAGAAAAGACATTCTGCGCCTTTTCTCAGCCCTCTAAAGTAAAGGGTATATGACCATGAATTGACTGAAGTAAAATGTTAAGCACGTTCATAAAATACGACTAAATCAAGAATGCTTTACTGAGCCAATTAAAATGAGTCCATTCGCTTGTTAAAGAAAAAGTCTTAGCTGATGAGCCTAGGCCAGGGGTCTGCAACCTTAGCTGGCTGAGGTTGCAGACCCGACCTAGGATTTCTTTCCCAAACAAAACTAATGAACTCTCTGACACCCATACCATTTGGAAGCAAATTGATTAGCATTTGAGATCTCTGAAGATAATTGGCGGATCAAAGCTTGTTTTCCACTCCTTTCTCATTCCAAGATATGAGCTAGAAATAAGTATAGGATATTTTGTGCTGCGTTTTAGACAGGTGGCGCAAAATCAAGACCAGGATCTCATATGTTGGTAGAAGAGAGGGCAGGAAATGCTTGATCAGTAAGACAGCTAAAAAGCTGTTGATCCCAACAAACTCAATTTTGCTTTTTGGTTTCTCTGCAAGCCTATTATTAGGATAAAAAATAAGAGTTTCAAGCACTGCAAATGGTCATATCCTACATATTGCCAATCCACAATGCAGAATTGTATACGGTTTTCTAAGAATTATTTATTTATTTTTTGTAGAATAGCTGGAAACACCTTCTTTTCATGTTTCTGGTACTCTTAATTAGTTGGCTATTTCAAATGCATTTCAATGGGACCTTAAGCCTGGAAAGAGGTATAAACTTTCAGGAAGAATTGTATCCAGAAATAGCTAATGCTTTTTATTGCCATTACCTAAAATATAGAGGGCATAGATATCCCCCAGCATCATACACTCATTGAACTACATTAAATTTGTGCAAGTGGCTGCATTCTCATGACTAATCCAATAGAAATTTATTGAGAAAAATAGTTCAGAAGAAATTGTTACTTCATTCGTTTTTCTTTGATTAACTTTGGCAGAGTCCCTGCTTTATTTCCTCTTCTAGCCATTGCAAAAACTAATTATCTCATAACACAGCTCCTTACATAGGTTGCAAAAGACTCCAATCCATGCTGGATACAAGGATTTCAGTTTATTTGTTGACTTTATACAAGCTACCTTTATTTGTTGATTTAATACTGGTGAAGGCTCTAGAAAGCAACATAAATTGTGAAGGATAAACATTTGGGAAGTACTTTATTGGAACCTTAAAATTGAGCACCCAATTATTTTTCATATCATAACAAAGTTCATAGCGGCATAAGCTGCACGAATATATGCAATGACATACAGAGGTCTGGATAGGAGGTTTCCCAAGTCTAAGATCTCTCTGAAATCTGAACAGAAAAATGGACAAGGATTTGGCTGTTTGTGAATCATCGCTTGCCTTCTAACCATCTTTGAATCAGAGATACAGATATAAGTAACCTGATTCTGCATTCCAATTGATTAAGCTCCTCCTTTTTAGCATATTTCAGATCTCTGCTGAGAAGACTGTCATAGATACACAGTTTAAGATCTGGAAACAGAGAACTCATTGCCCTGTTCTCCTCTGGCATTTTCAAAATGCCAAAAGAAAAAACAGCAGAAATCTCCACCAAGATGTTGTGAGAAAAATCTGTTTATTTCATTTAGTAATTTTCTTTTTTAAATTAAAGTACCAACAATGAGTTTTATGCTGGTAAAATAGTCAGGTTAAAGTCAATAGATTGCATTAGAAACTATTATGTATGTCCCTCTTTTCAAAAATTGAATGTTTTTATTCCCCCAATATATTCTCAAGATTTTAAAATATTTGAACATTTTACATTTCTCAATCAGACTTGACCAGAGAGAAATTAAGTTTAGAAAAGGTTGTCCTTCAGGTTGAATTGACCCTGCTCAGCAAAAGAGCAGCACATCGGCAGGGATGGTTGCCTGAAGGACATCCAGAATCTTAGAAGGTCACAGTAATGCACCAAACATTATTTGCAGCTGAAATAGTTCCAAAGGTTCTGTATTATTAATACTGAATTTGTATCCTGCAATATTTGAACTACACTAAAGCAGATGATTGCTAAGAATGGCAAAACAACTGTGTTTTTCTGCTTTACTTCTGCTTATATAAAACCTGCTGCTGAGTCCTTCTAAAATATTTATTTATTTACCTGGAATACTGGTTCATGTAAGTAGCAGCTGTGGTTCTTTTTGCTGCTCCTCTTTCTAGGATTTGATAGACTTCATCCTTGTTATGTACAGTTATTTCTTCTAAGCCCTTGATTATTACACCTCTCTGTCAAAAACAAAATGCTGAAGATACATATGCCAATTCAGAAGTTCATAACCTTGAAGGAGACACATCTGCTTTTTTTTTACCTTGTTACGTGGGTCATCAAACAGTTGCAACCTTTCCCCAACATCTGGAGATGGACTCAAAAGATCAAACAGCTCCTCATTGTAGATTTCCAACAAAGACACTTTCACAGAAAATTCTGTACCATTCTCTGCAAGTTTTTCAAAAATTTGATGCAGGGTACGTGGAATTATACCTGCAAGTGGATCCTACAGAAAAATAATATCACAGTATTAACCGACTCATTTTAGAATCCAGGCTTAGAATGTTAGCAAATAAGTATGAAAAGAAAGAAAAGTTCTTTTACTTCAAAGAAAGCATAGACTGGAGATAGGTGTTAGGATGTAAGAATGTGTCAGTATTATACTTGAAAGGCACTAAAATGTTTATACCTCCTCCCATGTATATTCTTCATTAGGTGATCGCTCTCCTTCCATAGTGAAGGTCTTTCCTGTACCGGTTTGACCATAACTGTATAAAGGAATTTGGAAAATTAGCTTCAGTAACATATTTTGGAGAACAACAAAAAATAAACACAATACTCACGCAAAGACAGTGCAGTTATAGCCCATAAGTACTTCATCCAAAATTGGACATACAACACTCCGGTACACATCAATCTGTTTGGCCTGGGCTCCAAAAACCTATTTTATTGAATAAAAGAAACTGTTCTTACTCTGACACCAGATATAAAAAGGGACTTGTTAAATGCTCTGAAGTCACACATAAGATTAGAGTAATCTTATAATAGACCAAGTTAAAACTATATTTTGTAATTATCTGCAAAACAAATATACTTCAGAAGTTTCCTTAGAAGTTCAGACACAATAGTTATATTGTACAGTCACAAAAATTATATTTTAACATGTGCTGTGTAAGCTGTAATGCGGGTTGTCTTGGTTTGGTATAAAGCATTAACCAATCCATATTTTAAAAATTGTAGTTTATAACATGAGTGAGCAACCTTACACACTAACCTGTAGTTTAAGGTTTCTTTTTGTAGATTGTTGGGGGCAATATGCTGACTCTGTAAATTGCTTAGAGAGGGCTGTAAAATAGCAATAGCATTTGGATTTATAAACCACTTCATAATGCTTTACAGCTTTCTCTAAGCACTTTACAGAGTCACCATATTGACCCCAACCATCTGGGGTCATTTTACTGACCTCAGAAGGATGGAAGGCTGAGTCAACCTTGAGCAGCTCAGAATCGAACTTCTGGAGTGAGCAGTGAATTAGCCTGCAGTACTTCATTCTAACCACTGCGCCACCACGGCTCTCAAAACTATTATGAATTACAGTATATAAGTCTAAGTGCTATTGTTAAATATGAGATTTAAATTTACCCTCCTCCCCACCTTCCCCCCCAAAAAACCTGCTATTTAACTCTAGAGCCCAAAAGACTATCATAATTTATAAAAACCAAGCCAATATTTGCCTGTAATCATCTTATTTAACAGATACATGCACAGGGAAACAAATTCAGGCAATTAACTGAAGGCAACAAAAGAAGTAATGAAAGGAGCTAGTCGTTCAGCAGAACTGATAAAGTGAACTTTCTGTTCAGTTTTAGACATAAATCTGTATTGATTATAAACAGCACTGGCTACTTCTAAACTATGAACACGTAGCAGCCATGCTAAGGAAAGAACAACTAATTTCTATCTGATTTGTTTCTTAGGTACTCTTAGAAATCTACTTAATGATGGAAATTTGTACCTTCAGTAATTAAACATCCCTTTTTTTCTGAATAGATGTGCACAGTTAACTTTTAATTATGTTATGCTGTACAAAGTCCAAACAGGGAATCTGTTTAAGTTCAGAATTATTAAGAAAATGGACTAGTCTTTCAATAATTTCCTGATTAATTAGATGGGCCACTGATGTCAGATACTGAATATATTTCACAATTAAAAAAAGTTGGCCTCTCTTTACTAGTCTCTGATTCCAATATCATCTTTCAATACATCTTTCTGATACTACCAAGATGCTCCTCTCCATCGTCTGCAACTAACTCTACATTTGCACTGAAATCCCAAATTATGTTTAAAGATAAAGATCACTATATTAAGTTTTATGTGAAAGTATATCAACATGTATATTTTTTTTGTTTCTCTAATAAATATCTTTCTTTATAACTCACATTTGATATTTATTCTAAAAGAGACCTTCCCTATTATATCTTCTGTATACATAAGATGCACAATTAAGGGTCAGAACTGAGATGAAGGGAAATCTCAGTTGAAGTGCATCCTTTCACATACTGCACAAATCAGGACACACCAAGTAAGAGTCTGGCTTGTTTTTAATCCTTTAAAAAAGGGAAAATCTAATCAGGACACTCCAATTACTCGAAGTAGTAGCAGGAATTTGTGAGCTTGACACTATAAACATAACACTGAACCCTAGTTTGATAATATATTCAATATCAAACTAGCATGCTCCTAACGATTCCTCGGGCTTTCAGGCATGTTTTTCCAAATTGTCACTGCTTGCTCCTTATTAGCGAAGGTGCCAGGGCTTGAACATGGAAACAAAATCTTTATTCATTACCCCGTAGCATTTATGGATCATTTTTCCCTTAGCTTGTCATGCAAACCTAGCCACTGGAAATTGTAAAGATGTTGCTCCTAAACTGCCAAAATGGGGGGGAAAGGTTCTAAATATTCCTACTAAGCAGTAAATAAGACTTACCATATCAAATGTATAGGTCTTCCTTGATGTTTTATCAGCCATTCCTCCAGTGCGAACAATAACTTCTTTCCTTCCATGGTCACAGTCCACTACAGCGTAGGAATTAGCTTTGCGCTCAGATATATTGAAGGGCCTTTAAAAACAGTTTCCCATACGTTATTTGAAGTAAGTGTAAGCCTAGTTTCAAATCAGCACAAGACCTATAAGCCTGTTTCCTTTGCTTTTAAGTTTAGTTGGTATGCATGCAGTACCATAAGATTCCAAACCTGGAATCTAGCATTCCTACTTGAAGATGGAACAGAACAGTATAATACCTTAACCACTACATCACGTTGGGCTTCATTTGGTCTGATACTGTTCCTGTACAAAGTGCTATGTGGATCCTCATGGACCTGAGAATAGGTTTTACACATAATCCATCTGAAACTTCATCAAATCACAAAAATCTTCAGTCTGAACTTTTCAGTCAAGGAACCAATCATCACTGTATGAAATTTCACATCTAAGGCATCGATTGACAGGGACACTTATTTTTTTAGATGGGATCCACATGAAACCATCAAATCACATAGTATCACGTGACTGAATCATTACAAATATAATTATTCTTGGCCCCAAAATTTAGAATGAACAGATCTAGTAATGTTACATGAGATTTATCTGGAACCACCATGAAAAAGCATATAACTTTCTGTATGCTGAATCATTACAGTTACATTTTTTATTACTTTTGATGCTGTAAAGGCACAATAATGTGGTTCAAGGGGTGGATCCCATTAAATATTTTTTAAAGCTAAAACCCACCCCAAACTGTTATCAAACAAAAGCATTAAAAAACACTTAGGATTTCCATGATGCAAAGTAATGGAGTTGAAATACAGATTTTTATATTTTGAAAATCCTTACATATGAGCCATTTGAAATTAGGATCAATGTATAGATGGCAACTATCTTCATTGTCTGAGCTAGAAAATTAACATCTGGCCATTCTGGATGTTATTATGACATTAATAACCTTCAAAAGGTTATTTAAAAGAAAAAAAGCATAGCTGTAATTACTTCAATTCTGTCCACAGAACATACCACACTTTTTTGTACTTCATTGTCAATCATAGCATAAAAATAGTTTCTTTGGCTGGTTCATCAAAAAGATTCAGTTAATAACAAAAATCTGTTCATTCAAAATATATGCACCATTCAAAGCAGCTAAGACAATATCAACAAAAATCACATCACAACAAAGATCTTACACTTCATATTGCATAACTCCACATAAATTCTCTTCAGATTCAAGCTTTAGCCTCATGCCAGTGTCCTCCATGCAGCAAATTAATTAGCCTTATGTTTTAGCCTAAGGATATGATTTGAGATTCTTAAAATAGATCTTTACCTATATTACTGATTTTTATATTTTATATTGTTTATCCTGCTCAGTAAGTTACCTAGAGAATAACAGATTGGCAGCCATCTAAATTTGATTATTGTTTGCCCATCCCATAATGTAGTCAATAATATAATCATTATTAAACTTCCAGCTCAAGCATATACCATATAAATGTTTTCTTTAAAAAAGCCTAAATACTATTCTGCTTTTTTAATTAGTCTTCAACAACTATTATCTTAACTTTTTACATCCTATTGAGAATGAGGATGAAAAGAAATCTGTCATTGGTCCTAATTCAAATGCATCCAAATAAAGACATGTACATGAAATAACCTCAGTCCATATGAAAATACATAGCAGAGCAATGTCTGATCAATAATCTTTTGTCAAGTTGAAGATGCTATCTCCAGACCGATTCTGCTCCCTTCATAACTCTAATAAAAAACTAAAAAAAATTACCCTTAGGAAGCTTAAGAGGACACTTAATGATGAATTAAGTCCTATTGTTTCCAATGGAAGGTACTCTGAATACATACTCTATATGAAGCTATAGTTCAAGATGCATGATAATAGGGCTGTGCTTCCCCTTCAGTGAAGCTTAGGGACATATTTAATGATGAATAAACCTTATTGTTTCCAATGGAAGATACTTCTGAAGACAAATGAATACTCTACCTAGAACTATTGTTCAGAATACATGGTAACTAATGGGACTTTACTCCTAGTCAAGACTGCAACGTCCTTCAATCAGCATTTTGATTGTTATGATAGGTGGAGGGAGGGCTAGATCCAGATTGGCTCATCTTTACAGCCCAAATTAACAGGACCAACTCCATCCTGACTCAAGTCTTTCAACGACGAGATGCTTGTTCTAAACGCGATCCAATCTGAATCCAGACCAAGTAAAGCAAATGTCCGCGACTACAAGCCTGGAGGTTAATCCTGATCAAAACTGAGTGAGACGTTGGAGAAAGCACCATCAGAGCAAGAGTGATGCTCCCCCGCGTTAAGTGACAATCCCTGCCCACGGGAGCGACCCCCCGTAAGGACTGACCTGCATCTCACCACCACCTGGATGTTCTTGCCTTTGTCCTCTTTCTTCGCGCTGACGCAAGAACTCATCGTCGGTCCGTCCGGGGTAAGTTAAGAAAGCAAAGACCCAGGACCGGACAGAACCAAGCTGGGAAGAGAACCGGCGCTTCACCCACAGGGCGCAGGGCAGCTCTGAATCATCCGTCTTCCCGAAGGGGATCCCGGAGCCTTGCCGATCCCGAAACTTCGAGAGAGAAAGAGAAGCGCAGCCCCTCTTTCAGCGGAAACCGCTTGAGCTATTCTTGCCCCCCCTCAGCCAACTTCACGAGAGAGAAGCGCGCCCAAAGTGAAGCCGACCACTTTGAATCGCTCGAGCTGCGTGCCAGCCAATCAGCGTGAGGTTACGAGATTCGCAGAGGACCATGGGACTTTTTAAATACGCGTGAACTCCTAGGCTGTTTATGACATCATCACTAGGCGACAAAAAAAGATTAAGCGTACCTAGACCTATATAAACAGGTTGTACAGGTATCTGAAGCTTCTTAATGGGATTGGGATACTCTTTTTGTCTTCCTCGCTCGCGGAATAAAAAGCAGAAAAGGGCGGGGGAATCTTTCTAACTCAGGGCTTACTTACAGCATTTGAAAATGTGCCGCAGTTAAAAATGCAGCTTGCAATAAATTTCATTCCGCAGTTGTTTAGAATAGCTTTGCACACTGGACTCCTATTTGTGTACTTCCATCCAAATATCTGAGATGTAATTCCCAGGGCTGATAGCCATGACGCTTAGATTTTAACAATCAGTCGCAATCTTCTGCCAACGTACCCACTGGGTTTTTATAAGCGGATCGTGCAGCCCAGGGTTTTTCGAACCTGGCAATTTTAATAGGTGTGGCCTTCAAGATGCTGGTTGAGGAATTCTGAGAGTTGAAGTCCATACATCTTAAAGTTGTTAAGTTTGAAAAACAAAAGTCACTTAGAGTTGGGCCTGACTTGAGAAGAGTCTTTCCCTTTCGAAATGCAGATACTGTATTAGTGAATGGATTTTAAATTAGGAGATCGGATCATGCCAGACAAATCTTATTGCATTCTTTGACCAGGTGACAAAATTAGTGGACCAGAGGAATGCTGTGGATATAATTTACTTGGACTTTAGTAAGGCATTTGACAAAGTAGATCACAACCTACTACTTGATAAGATAGAAAAATGCGGGTTAGACAGCATCACCACCAGATGGATCCGTAGCTGGCTGACCGGCCG